GGAAAATACATTTTTTCACTAACAACTACTACAAGGTAAACTGTAGTTCCAAATACAAAGTTCTTTAGAAAGTACTTATCCATTATGCCTTAAACTATTTCACTGAATAAAAGCATTCCATGCCATACTTAGGCAAATAAGCAGGTGGTGGAAGTTGAGCAGACAGCAGATTAAGAACAAGATCTGTATGAAGCATCCAGATACTTCAGGGACGAGGGCAAAATTTAAGTAGGTACCCATATACATGTTAATTGATTTTCCAGTCTTCCACTCATGTAAAATGAGTAGATGGAAAATTCAGGAATCTTTATCCTTTGTATCCTTATGCAAGAGTTGGTGGATGGTATTACAAGCTTTCCTATTTATCAACACAGTGCTACACGTTTTACCAGTTTCAAAGATGGCAGGACTTTTACTGCCATGCCCCAGATCGCCAGAACTCTTCAAACAGTCACTTCAGTGCACATTTTTTTCTTAAAACTTCTACAGCCAAGAAAGAGTGTTGGAAGTGAAAAACCAGAATGTGACCTGATACTTTTATCCTCATCTCTGAGTACTTCCCAAAATAGGGACATACCTATCGGATGCGTAAAAGAACAACTACTGTGTGCTCACTAACAGCTTGTAAGAGAATTTTTGAATACTGAGTAGGAGGAGAAATGACAGCTGACCAGGAAATAGGGTTATTATATGTTCTTTTTTAAAAGCATCATTTTGAACCATTTCCACAAAACCACTACTCAAGGTTAATGAAGCAAACACAAACTTATCATTTCATCCTAAAGACTGAACATCAAATGCAGCATTATCTCTAATACTGCATTGCAGTATCACTTCTGGGTTTCTGTCCAAGTCTGGGTATGGGGCTTGAAATCATGGTTTTCTGGTGATCTTAAAAACCTACTGTGATCTCAACCATAAAGGCATTCATCCTACTTTGAATTATGCAGCAAAATACTTACTGTTGTTGCACAAATCATGGGAGTGTGATACAAATAATTGACATTTATAGAAATAATCATAAAATTTAAAAATAAACAAGGCCCTAAATATTACAGAAAGACAGTTTAAAGACTAACATATACTGCATTAAGTACTTTTATTTCTCTTAAACAGACTTGTTGTATTGCTAGAGAAAGATAAATAGATACTAAATTACAGTGCGCAGTGTTACATCACTCGAGCAATTTCTTCCAGCCTTTGCAGAAATAGTATTAGACCCATTAACCTAATCATCATTGAAATTGCATTACTAATATTTAATTTAATGCTTATTTTAAAATGTAGCAGTCCTCCTTCAAGAGTTAAATATTCATGTGTATGGCACAATTAATTATCTTAGGGCTTCACTTGTAGCATGTAGTACTCTATTTGTGGTACTCAAATACTGTGGTACTCTATTTGTAATAAAGATGACTGGTTTGAATTCTACAGAGGTTGTTATGACTGTGAACAGCTACTTTAATCCAGAGGTACAATTTAGCTCTGCATCCCAGCATCCAAATGAAAATAAGAGAAGACAACTGAGGAATGAATTTTTTACTAGGGATACAGATACCTTAATGGCTTACTTCACCATAGTGTTTGAACATGCAAGGAGCAGCCAAAATTAGTGCAGTTTCTATGAAAAGCTACCACCGGCAACTCTCGTCATCTTCCTTTTATGAAGGCTGCCCCAGCAGTAGAAGCCACAGACAAAAGCTCGCTGATACACACATTATTAGAGAGAAACACATAACACCTCTGCATTCCAGTTAAGTGTTAACCATTCAGGTCGGGAATGAACCAGTGTGAGCCACTCATATTATGAACAAATCTGAGAATTACATGAATCACAATTTGGTGATTTGGTGAACTGAAAACTGGAGAGGAAAATAAAACTGCTCTGAGTCAGAAAAAAGAGCAGAGTTGGGTTGGGGAAAGGAGATAGTGAGTAATAAAGAAATATAAAGTCAATGAGAAAAAAAAATCCAGAACTACTGCTACAAGGTGAGAAAGTTGTCAAAAGGAATCTTGCTATCCATAAAATGCCTCATCAGTGGTGCAATTTACAATTTCATAGCATGAAGCTATGTCTCAAGGAAATGTACTAACTTTTAAAATTTACATCCATTTTCTTTGATGGAAAATTTCCCAAATAAATGCAAAGTCATAAATAGTTTCTGGGTTCATTCTGCATTTACTATTTGTTTTTTGTTTAAAATAAAAAATGCAATAAATTTAATCTTAAAGCTTCTTATATTTAATTTCAGAAACATTTTTTGCTAAAGTAATATATATAATCACTCTTTGTAATTATATATATAAAGATAAAATAATAATACCAAAACAAACAGCTTAATAGTATTCCTGATTTTGAAGGCCTGTGTGCAACAATGATGAATTCAGTAGCCTTCTCCTCCAATGTATTTGGTAAGAATAAAATTATAAAGCCATTTATAGTGCTGTTATCATTCACAGGATTGCTTAGGACAACACAACTGGCTAGACTCTCTGTAAGCACCTTGTATCATGCATGTAGAAAGAGTTAGTTGTAAAGAGTTTTTACAGCTGGATGCCAGGTTTCTGGCAGCTCTGAATGTCAGAGCAGTCTCTGATATGGCCCTGATACAAGACTAAAGCTGTACTTCAAAGGTCTGTGGGTATAATGCATTTGTACACATGCACAAAAACACAGTTCAATTCCTGGCTTAAATGTCTTGGTTTTCTTGCTAATCCATATCGATACTTTTTAAGTAGGTCTTTAGATATGAGGATTGTAAATTCAAAGTGTTCAGGATGTTATGCCAGCAGGCAGTCAGGAAGATCAGAGGAATAACAAACAGCAAAACCCACATTGATAGAGAAGTTCGGTTCCTTACTAATTAACTACAACTGTGATTGAAATTACTTGTTTTGAAGAAATCTATTCACATTTCTTCTTTCAAATTTCCTAGAAAAACTGTTTCATACCAGACTTTGTTAGGTGCGGAAACATGTGGCTGAGACCTAATGAAAGGATTAGTCTCATACAGCACAGATTGAAGTCACTTAGGCCTTTTACTGTGACAGGATAAACTGAGACTAAAACTTAATGCCTTTCAAGCTTTAAGCAAGAGCTCAAAAACACTTTCTAGCAGTTCCAATCAAAGTCTGCAAAGTTCTAATCCCTTTATTGCAAATAGTAGAAAGGATTTAAAAAACATCATTCTACAATTTAACCCCAAAACTAAAGATACCCAAATGTATTTTGACCTTTTTCAGTCAGCTATTCTCTGTTTTGAATGTATCTTTGCAGCAACTCCACTTCACTAAAATTGTCCCAGATGTGTGTATCAGTTTAACTGAAATTAGAACTGGGGTTAAAAACTGTATGCAAGTACATATTAAGCTATCTTGGAGTGGTATTTAAAAATCAAAAAGACAGGCCAGGAGAGAGTTTATCAGAACTGAGACTGATGCATTTCTTCCTTGCTTTTAACTTTATGATTAGAAAAATGAAGGACATGCTTTGCTTTGGAATTCCCCTATTTGCTTTTGCTTATTAGTGAAGATCAAAATATACCCAACTCTCTTACCTAATGCTACTTTAGTTTCCTGATGTTGCCGGGTGATCCTGAACTAGAGCAGTCATTACTTGTATCCTTATATAAGTTTCCAGTAATAGTGCACTGTTGAAATATTTTCCCCATATTCTGTTTTTAAAATAATTCTACTTTGCTTTGCAGTGGGGGATTTGTGGGACAATGAAAGTAAATTGCTTTAGTAATCTTTTAGCCCCTGCAAATATGAAAGAAAATGAACATGTTGATGGCAATACTCAAATAGTCAAGACGGCTTCAATTCAATAAAATTGTAGCAAGAAAGCCGTTATGCATCTTCCCTTTTAATGGCATAAGTTCCCAGTTGTATCATGTCTAATAATTTCTTTTGCTGTTTTATAAAGTGTAGCTGTATATTTTCCTTTATGTTGCTCGGTTACAGAATTTTTTTTTTTAACTTCAGCATAATTGTGTTGCCTAATGAATAAATTATATAACACATTTAATCCTGATTGATATTTCAGTAAATTATTCCTGCTACTAATTAATGAGCACTTCTGTATCTGCAAAAGATGATTTAACTAATCCAATGTATAGATTTTCTTGAAGCTAATTGTTAAGTTTAATGAACCAGATATCTCCCACTGAAGTAAGTGTCGCATCCTTACACCAAGCAGCTAAAAAAGTTGTAAATCCCCTTGCACAATAGAAGTAGTTATGGATCAAAGCTGGTTCTGAACCGTCTTCTGCTTGTGTAGTGTCCTTGACTTTAATGGGAATGTGCAAGTAAAATACAGTTTTCTACTCTGTTATGACTTCAGATATGATTCTGTTCTCCTAATTTGTGTTCTGTTTAACTTTAGATAATTTTAAGTATCAAAAGTATAATAAATATAATGAGGGATTTCAGATATGAAATTGAGTCTATCTGAAAAAACAGCCAGAGAGGAAGGCACTGGTGAGGATGTGTTTCAGGGAATGTGCAGATTACTGACTAGCAAGCAAAACCACAATAAAAGCTTTTTCAATACACAGTTTCTCTGGAACGTCCACATTTAAAGCCACAGACAAATTTAGCAGGAAAGAAATCATCAGTAAAACAAAATGCAGTAAAGCAATTGAACACAACTGGAGTCCCAGACAGACCTGCTATCAGCTGCCATTACTGGCGTGCAGCACAGGATATGTTAAAGACGGCTGATGGTGAATTACAATCACACAGAGAAATGGGGTAGAGCCACTCAGGATGCACACAAGATTAAAAGAGCAGCTATTTGCTTAGTCACTTTTTTGCTTCTCCTTGCTGGCTGGAGTGCCAGATAATCCCCATGCAGATGTTACTTATGACATTGACTTTTTTTTAGAACTTAGTCCAAATGTCAGGTATCTGAAATGGAAAAAATTCCAACCAAACAAAAAATAACAAGCCGATAAAACCCAACATCAAAAACCAAAACCAAGACAAATAATGAGACTTACTTGAAATAAAACATCATGTCTGGAAAAGTGGCAAATTAGAAACTTGATGTTACTGAATTAGTGTTGCATCACAACAGGCTTGTTTGGAGGGTTCTCTGTCATGTCATACGGATATTGCCACATAACTTCTCCATCAGCAGTAGCAGCACTAACAAGAAGGGAATATAATAAATGGGGTTTTTAAAAGTCTTTGACTAAAAATCATGTTAATATATGTGGATTCTATTTATATTTTTGAAACTATAACTTGCTTTTGGATAATGGTTTTAGTTTTTTAGTTTCAGTGTTCATAATTTTTTTTTTAAATCCCAAGGTACATTAGAAAGACATTTTCATAGCTGTCAAATTTAACTCTGGCTAAAATCTTGCCATACATCATAGTATCAAACTTTCTATCAAAACTTGTCCCTCTAAAATTGTATTAATTATTATCTTTTTTTTATTGTTTACCATTAACCTACTTGAAGTGGACTGAATAAAAAGGGTGAACTTTCACTGTTAAACTTTAATGGCAATTTCTATTTCTCCCTGGCAGTCTTTATGATTCCATTTGGAAAGGACTGAAAACACTTGAATCAGGAAACAAGGAGAATATTCTTGAAATAATTGATTTTTAAAAATATTCCTCTTAACTCTCAAGCAGTATTTAATTCAGTCAACTTATACATAAGACTTACTTTTAACCATATTTTTCCTCATTTGCCAACTTAGCTACACCAGTTCATTTTCATTTGATTTGAGGTCTAGGCTCTGAAACATTATTCTCACACACCTTAATCTTGGCCATATTCTAATCTTTTGTATTTTCCCTTTCACATTATGCAACATCAAGTACAACAGACACCAAATACTCTATTACAGCCAAAGGATTGCTGTTTCTGTGCAACCTAAAAAATCATATGAAAAGCAGATTACTACCTAACTGCGTATTTCATAATATGGCAATGTTGCCAGTATTTCTGTGCCTGGGTATTTAAGAGGTATCTAAATGATTCTTACAAGCCATTTCTGTCTGTGTCAAGGAACATGGTTTCTGTAGTACAGGAATGCCTTTCTCTGCTTTTACTTCAGGATATGGTTGGGCATAGCCAAGCACAAGGATTAGCTGAGAAAGCATATTTCTATTTTCCTGATATTTTGGGAGGTTGGCTCTTAAAATCAAAGAACAATGCAAAAATTGTAGGACGGTATAGCAGTAGTACATTGTTCAGCTCATCAGCCCTCTATTTCATGGCGGAGTCGCACAGGCAAAATTGGAAGGAAAGGTCTGGCACCTTTTAGTACATTTGAACACATGTGGAAAGGTCCTCAGGACAAACTTTGTAAAAGTGTCCAGAAGCATCAAGAGTAGTAACTGTAGAACATGTATTAAACTGCTTGATACCTGCCATCCAAGAATCTTGGTTAATTTTTTATATTACTCTAACATTTTTATATTATCTGACTCCCCTTAACCAGATGGAAAAATATAGTCAAAGTATTCTTATTCTCAAAAAGTCTTCCTAACCAAGAATTAATGGTATTAACTCCCTTAACCAAGTATTAATGATATTCCCTGATTATCCAGCAGTAGCTTTGTACGCATAAAACTTCTCTTTCTAGCAACGTGAAGTCAAGATCTTTCCTTAAATCTATGTGCTTTCAAAAACTTTTTCTCTCTTTTTTCCTCTCTCTTCTCTTGATTATAGAGCTTTAATACATGATTGAAAAATGGGTGAATAGTTCTACATTTAACAACTGGTATAACAGCCTGTGGTCTTTGCTAGAGTCACTGAGAACATTTTAATGAACAGGCATGAAAATTTTCTTTTTCAACACAGCATCAATAATAATCAGCTCAAGACAGAGACCCTGGGAGGTAAGCCACAATTTGTGGCAGTATAAACAAAATGAAACTCAGGAATGCAAAATCTAACTTTATTTCTGAAACTTAGTGAACAGTAAGTTAACCAAATGCATTTTCTCAGTAACAGCTGATGAATTTTGGTAATCATAAACTGTGTCTGCAGTGTTTTCCCATCTCATCTGTGTATTGTTCCATGAGACAGTTTGCCTTTTCCCATTATATACAGTCTAACACTGATGAGTTCAGCTCATGTACCACCTTTATCCTGAGTAACAGCTGTCTTGTGTCACAGTCCAGCTTCCCAAGAACTTGGTCTATGATACAGTCAACTGAGATACCACAAGTGTTAATGAATGATTTGAGCTGTGCCAGCACCAATGGTTACTACAACTTCTCGGAACAATGTTGGGCCAGCCAGCTGGATTGTTCTCAGAGTTTGGACTATTTTCACTCAATTCAGAGGGCTCCTCTGACCTCCCTTCTGTACTATTAACAGATTTTTAATGGGACCTGGCAATGTCACTTTTCTCTAGCAAAATACACATTTCCCATGTCCTCTGTTGCATTCAAATAACCATATTGCAGTGGGTGAATTGCTTGTAAATACCACTTTAGGGGGTGGGTGTGAGAAGATTAGTTCCAGGCTGTTGTGCCATACTGTTTCCTTGCAAACATCTTTTTGGTATCTACGTGTAGCAAACTGCACCTTTCAGATCCCAAGTACCTCACAGCAAGTGGCTTTCCATAAATGAAGTGGCAGGAGTGCTATTCCTCTGCCTGTTATTGCTTTCCTGTCAAAGGTGCATTCATTGCACTTTGTGTTGCTCTTCCTAAAATTTCCTCTGTATGTTTGTTATTACTGTTTTTTTTTCCCTATCACCATTTTCCCTACCAGGATTATAGGTATTCTTCCATGGTCTCAATATTATCTTGCTTTAATTGCAAAACTTAAATTATAGACTGATCATATTAATGTTAAACTACTAGTAAAAGTCACTTCAGTGACATTTAGAAAAAATTTGAATACTTACTTATCCCCAACTTCAGCATTAGTGGATATTATTTTTGGTCACAGAGGTTATTTTCTCTTTCCCTCACGCATTTATTCTTCCCTGAACCTGCTGTAACAATGTCAGCCATTTTCCTGTTTTAGGTCAATTTTTTAAATTTGTTTTGAGCTAAGTGTAAACTAGGAGAGTAGGAGGAGTAGTTTAAAATATGTAAGATACAATCTTTTCAACGGGCCACTAGTTTATTTTGCAAATACTGCAGTGAAAAACATTTCCTTGTGTAAAAATAAATTTAAGTCAGACAATTGCTGTGGCACTTGTAAATGTTTAATGAAACCCTTGAAAGCACTTTCCCATGTATTTAAGTTTATGATTGATAAATTGCAAAAAAAGAGTTCTTTCAGTGATCTTGTCACACTTTACAACTAGGATCGGGTATAAATACCAGCAAATTGTCATGTAAACATCCCCAAACACAATGATGTGTGTTATATGTCAAGGGGAGAAAAACAATGTTACAATTTGGTTTTCAAGTGCTTTCTTCTCTACAACTTCAGTGCCTTAAAACATAGCTACATGAAAGATAAGATCAGATTTGGTAACTCCCCCAGATTTTTTTCATGCATTTCCTTATTTACCCTGAGAACAGCTTTTCAGACAGAGGTTGCTCTGCCGGCAGAATCAGAAAAAAAAAATTGATAAATTATAGAAGGGTGATATATTTGGGTGATATATTTACTCAAGTCTTCTCTTTGAGGAAAGGCGATGTGGGCAGGTGGTTTCCCCACATCTCTTCAAAACACAGGTGAAACAAATTAAAATAGGTCAAAACACTTATATTGTTCACATCTACCTATACTAGAAGCTTGTTTTTCCAAGCAAACATCTAGTCTCCACCCCCTACTGTCCTTTTACAAGGATTGCTGGAACCACAGCCTAGTTACAACCACCTCTGTAAAACAAATTCTTCTGCCTATGCTAAGTATTATTTAAGATATTGTCCATTATGGGTGAAGATAATACCTGTATCTTCTGGGAACTGTACAGCAAATTATATACATCTGAAATTGCTTGTGTACTCAGCTCACTGTAACAAGTCCCAAATCAATTGTTGATTGTGGTATGTATGTACTTAAATCAAATTTGGGCAGAAATTTTAGAAATTAGCAATGCAAGTTTTCTTTTCTCTGTGGTGATACACTATCTGATTTTTCCATCCAGGCATTAATTAGCATTACCTTTGCACATACAGTAAGGAGATAAAGGCAAGAGAAATAACCAAGTCCTGATGTTCCTTCAGGATAAGAAATTCAACCTTTTAACCAATGAAATATGTATAAAACAGTCTTTGAACATTGTAACCTTTCCCTTGCGACATGATCACAATGGCATCTGATCAGTTGCTACTTTTTCCAGTCATCAAACCATTCAGAAAATTAGTCAGAGCTAACCTTGCTTGGAAGTGGGAATGCTAAGTGGATTTCTAGAAGGTCACAGTAGCCAGCACTGCCCCCTCCTCATCCTAAACTAGAATTACAAAGCTCAAAACCTCTTTACAACAGAGGCATTATCCACACTATTTCAAGCATGTGCGCATGGGCTGGTGCACGCCAGGGAAACTGTGGGCTTTATATGTGTTCGTTTTCTATTTTAGGGTATTTGTATTATTACTGCAAAGACCTCACTGTTTTTCCTTGTTAAATATTTGTTTATGCAACATTCCCCCTGCAGGCAACTGTGTTCATGGGATCCTTACTTTATAAGGAATTTCAGTCCCATATGTTGCTCCTGGCGCTTTTTGCTGCTCTACTGGCACCTCTGCTGCTTGCCCTTTAACTAAAGTGACAATTAAATCATAGAAAAACAAATCTTAAGCTGTAACCGAAATCTCTCCAAGCCTGAGGCTAAAGCAACCAAGCTCCTTTTTAGATTGTATTTAAATGTTATGGACTGCATCTGGCCACATGACAGCAATGACATAAATCCATACGTTCCATGAGAATTTCAAGGCTGACTTTCTTCAGCTCGAGGAAAGCAAGTTTTGCCTGATGTACAGAACTGCTTTGATGTTAGCAGGAGTACAAACATTCAAGATTAATTAGAGCTCAAAGCATAAATGCAACAAAGGGAATTCCCTTCCCTTCTGTTCTTTCCCAATGGAGAGAGGGAATTCCCTTCCCCTTCTGTCCCCTCTCTGAGCAGGGAGGGAATCCCTTTGCTATTCTTACTCATGATGACGATTCTTTCCTCTCCCTAAGAGCAATGGGTAGTTTGGATATTTTTTTTTTCCTTGTTTCCTCTTTCCTCATTACAGGGTTAAGAGCTCCCTGGTTTTCCATCATTTCTCTCTCAGAGGTGAAATGGAATTGAGACACTCACAGTACCTGTTTTCTGTTTTAATATTTCAGTATGATAATTAATTTTATGTGGCGTGGGGTTTTTTACTTTTTTTTACCCCTCTGGGTGCAGCATTTTATCCCACAAACATATGAAACCAGAAAACCACTTGAAATTTGGTTACTGGCAGCTATGATCTAAATATAACTGCTTCCACTTCAGTATGGCTAATTAATAATTAATACACAGAATGGGGTTTAAAAACAAGGCTGAACACCAGAATCCATATTTCATTAAAGGGGCTTCTCCTCCAGTGTAAAGCATCCCCCAACTACAGCTTCTAATGCAAGAATTTAGTTATTCTCACTGGAACTGACTAAAATAATCTGTCCTCCCACCCTGCCAGGAATTACAGAATACCATGGACTGACAAATTATTTCAAATTCAGTTTGATGTAGGATAATGGCCCAGAGAAACCACTGCTAATGTACAGATTAAGTTCCATTTCAGCTGTACACCACTGAAGCGAGTTTTGTATTTCCCTTCACAGGGTAATGAGTTTCACCTGTGTGATTAAAACTAAAGAATAATGGACGATGATGTGAACTTTGTTCATTTACTGTAGTACTTGTTGTTGGCTTTTAATAATTTAGAATATTGCAGATCATAGATGGAGCTGTTCTATGATACCTTTGCTAAAAAATAATGAGGTAATATTAATCTGAAACCTCATTGTAATTTATGTCCTGAGGCTGAACTTCTAATGAAGAATACATTTTCTCTGGTTTTAACTGAAATGCTCTTTTTCTTCCCTAACTGGTTTTCAACATCCAGGGCACAGTCAGCAAATTTTAAATGTAAATTTCTAAAACATGAAGCCAAGTATAGTAGTAATCCAAATAAAAGATAAAATACAGGAAAATAATTTAAACCCCATAGAATATCTGCAGGAAAAGATAGCCTTTATTCCTCAAACCAATCTTCTCCTGATTGACTGTTCACTCTTGCTTTCTTTAGGCATGGCTGTAATATTACTAAAAATATCATTAATATTTCACTCTAAATGTTTATAGGAAAAGATTGTCTCTTAGGAGCAAATTCTTGTACAAGTAAAATTACAAGCCTGTTGATTCTATCCGCTTTCTGCCCAGATTGGTTAACCAGGGTTTCTATTCTCAGAGATAAAGCACCACTGTTGACACAAAACCCCTGCTATATAGTCTTTATATTTTAATGACTTTTAACAGAAACAAAAATCTGGAGCAATGTCACCTTTAGATATGTTGTCATCAGCTAGTCACTTATATCTTTAGAAAATCACTGTAGGAGGTATATTGCAAATATTGTAAGAGCAGGTTGATTAAATAAGTGAAGTGAGTATAATCAGACCATTTTCAAAACTTCCATTTAAAAAATATATAATATTTTACTTCTTGTGAGGGTATATAGATATAAATCTTGCACTATTGAAGTGCAGCCTCACCTATGCAAAAGAAAAAAAAAAAAGATTAGTTAGTCAGGTTCAGGGAAACCAGTAATCTCAAAGGCAGCAAGCACTGTCAAAGAACTGAGAGCAAGACAGAAGCCAGACACATCTGAATTGTAACTTACTAGGTTTGACTTTCACAGTCTCAATTCCTCCTCTTGAGACAGAGTTCACTATGAGATTTGCAATACATTTTATGCATCTTTCTCAGCTAGTCTCAGCTGGCCAGAATTTAAGGCTCAAATGATCTCATCTGTGAGTAGACTAGGTATCTAAGTCAATGTATTACTCATAAAAGTTGGGATTTTCAAGTGAAACATCAGCTAAATTATCATCTTTTGCTGTACTGTTACCTTCATATTTGTAAGATCTCAAGCATTTTTATATCTGGAACCATGTCACTTAAGTAGAGAAGTACACTATCCTCTCCATATGTAATTGTAATGAAATCACAAATCAGGAACATTCAATGTAATTTTAACCTGGTTTAGGTTGTTGTTTTTTTTTGTTGTTGTTGGTTTTTTTTTAATTATAAGAATCCCAAGAGTTATCAGTTAGGCTTTTATTAGTTATCATTTACTGCTGAATTACCATTGTTTTGAAAGCCTTTTATTTACAGAAACATTCATAATCTGTATTTCTTTTGGTGTCACATCCTCATAATTTCCCATTGCTGTCTCCAGCTCTTTAAACTTAAAAAAAAAAAAAAAAATCAATCTAATTTCTCCTTTTTTTGGTACTTAATGCAGTGAAGAAAAGGTAAAAATATGTGAAGGTCATATGGAGGTTATGTCTCTAGGGAAACTCTTGTTAAAGTTGTGCAAATTCTGTACATGCAAATGTTGTGCAATTTCAGTACATGCAAATGTTGTGCATGCAAAAAGTCAACAAATATTCAATCTGGTTATTCAATTACTGTCAGCCCTCTGAGGGCTGCTGAGCTAACCCTACTGCCTTTGACATACAACAACTGTTACATGAAAAAGACAGTGTTGTGTGAGAACCGATTTGCTGTTTCTTTGCTCCTTCTAATCTATGTTTATGTAGTCACATTTTCTGAAAAGAATGTTCTGGCCGCTGATACAGGTTTGCATGGTATGAAAGGGCACTCAGCTTTGTGATGACCATCTGCAAATCTTCTTTGAAGAACAGCTTTCCAAAGCCTATTCTAATATAAATGTGATGAATAGTCATCTTTAATGAACAAATATTAGTGGTTTTTGCTTCCTATTTATCTGTTCTTAAATTACGTGAATGGTAGGTCAAAAAGGACTGAATTAAGAACATTCTCTTCAAAGATGTTTATAGAATGAGGAAGGTTCCTATTATATTCTGCTGTTAACCTGTAATACTACTTGTCCTCAAGTATAAGTTCTTAGTTACATTCTTCTGCCTTGAAATAAATCAGAGGGCTACTAACCCAAACCTTCTGCTTCACAAAGCCCCAGACAGATTACAGATACAAAAGACAAATACACAGATAGCACAATACCAGAGAGAGTGCTACTGTTTCAGGTGGCAGCCTTTTTCTTTCGGTAGGACTTGACCTCTCCGAGCACCATTCGTGTCCTTAGGGCCGCAGCAGCCCCGCGGCGGAGGGAGCGGCCGGCCCGGCCCTGCCGCAGCCCAGCCGGGCGGGAGGGAGGAGGGAGGGAGGGAGGGAGGCAGCTGCTCCCGCTATGTACAAACAAAGCCCCGGTTGCTGTAGCAACCCGGCAGCCCTGAGCGAGCTCCCCGGCACGGCACGGCCCTGCATCCTCCCCCGCGCCGCCCGCGGGGCTCCTCGCACGCTTCATCCCCTTTTGGACAAGGCGCTTCGGGATCTGCGCTGATCCAGCCCGCCGAGGTGAACGCCGCCGGACGCGCTTCAGCTCTGCCAGATGAGAAATGCGAGCGGCTCTGCGGGCTTGTCACCGGCCCAGCTCTGCAATACCTACCAATAGAACGTGCTTAAATATGTATATTGGGCGTGCACATTGGGAAGGTAAATGGTAATCTATTTGGTGAAACTGAATTTTAAAATACACATAGCCTTTGAAAAGAGAGATGGGCTGTATACAACAGCATGGTGCGAATTTTAATGCTTTCTTTCTAAAATTCAGCATCTATAAATTAGGTTCTGTCACCAAGTTTGTTTCATTCCTCAATTATCAAGATAACATTCCTAGATCCACAATACCTAATATTTGTGTCAGTTTTTGCAAGAAGAATCTGGAATAAAGAAACACACCTTTTTTTTCTCTCTCTTTGACAAATATATAGGACCTACATATCAGACCAAATTAAAACAAAATATCACTAGACTTATTATAATGCCATTACTTAGACTGTTATTATAATTAGCATTAGGTCTTTCAAACTTAAAATATATGTTTGCATGAATCATGCTAAAATATCTCTCATTTTGATGAGCTTGGAACATGACACTTTAAAGGAGATGATCAAGAGAGATTTCATGTGCTGAACTGGATACTCACAGCTACATGGAAATCTCTCATTATCCTTTTAGTTCATTGTGAACAGATAATCTTTTCATGTCTCTGACAAGGAGTATTTTAATTCATGGTCTCCTTTCAATTGATGGCTCCTATCAGGGACAAACTCAGTAAAAATGTTCAGAATCCAGTGACAAACAGTAAAAATGTTCAGAATCCACGGTCACACTATGTTACTTCATTATAATAGGAGGAATTGTATCTTTTACTGATCCATTTTTCAGAATCTATCAAGATAGAAACATTGCACTGGCTAAAAAAAAAAATAGTAACACTTTCACTGATATTTGAAAGTTTGTCCAGCTGTCATGAAAGAGCAATTGGTAGGAAGAATGCTAATACCACATCAAAACTTGGCATACAGGAAAACTGATACTCTGGGCAATGAAAAAATTTTCATTATGCTTATTTGGACTGTCTCTAATACCTGGCTCTGCTTATCAGGAAGGCCCAAAATAAAGATGGATATTTTCAACTGAGTATTGGTGAGACTTTCTCTAGTGAGACCAACATTGTTCAAAAAGTTCTCATATATTCAGTCATGATTTTTTTAGACATTCATTGTCTCTGATATCTTGAGCTAGAAATTAGATGCCTAACCTCTAATGAAAGGCAACAGTAGATGGACTTTTAAGTACCAGCCTTTGCTGGGACTTATAAAATACATCCTTAAATGTAATTAGTCCCAATTTATTTAAATAGTACTCAGTTTAACAGAAAATGCTACCACAGTTAAATTTTTAACGTGAATTGCTCATCAAAATTTCCATGCAATCCTTTGACATTTCTTCTCAACAAACAGTAAGATAAAATTTAGATAATTGAGTATCCTTACCATCAGGATCAGTTTCAGCAATTTGAGCTCCTGTAACCAAAATGTTCTCAATTGTGTAACAAACAATATCCTAGCCTGTCTCTCTGCATCACTAGAAAGCATTCAGCTCTACTAATGCCTTACTTTGAAGAGAAGAGTTTGTTCTTAAAATCAAGATATATAACACACAGCCTTGCTGCCCAAAAAAATATGAGACACCATGAAATATTCTTTATTATTATTAGATTAGTATTCGTACTAGTATTAGTATGCATCAGCACAATTAATCTAAGGGGTCATTGTCCTATTTCCTTTAAAAACATTTTGCAGTGCTTATGGAAAATGACACTGAGTTCAAATCCATTCAGTGCATTTGAAGACCTGGATGAAAGAGTTCTTCAGGAACAAAGGAATCTCTGATATTGATTATCAAATAATCACCAAATTATACAGAAAAAGTGCTATTACCAGTCTGACCAGATGTAAACCAATGCACCAATTTTCCATTACTACTCTTCTGAGTTAAGTGACCACATTATTAATGTCTAAAACTGCAAAGACCTGATGAAATTAATTTCATGCTCAGGCTTTCCAACAGTTGCTTTTCAGAGAAATCTTTGTAGGCTGTTAGAGTAGGATTCAAAGGCAAAGTGGAATTAGATATAGTGTTTGCATTCAGGTCAAATACTATCAAACAGTAGTTCCACCTAGAAATAATGGTAAACATTGACTTTGCACCAAATTATGACTGATACATAAATAATATATGTACCTATATAGAAAAAAATTAAATAAAGAGACCATGGTTTTAATGACCCTATTAACTACGGATTATTACATTCTCTGTCACTGTCTTGACTTTAGACCAGATCTGAATCTGTTCTAAATTATGGAAATGAAATTTTAGATAACACTAACGTTATGAAGCCTCTTGGGTGCCACACCTCAGAAACACTTTCCAGATTCAATGTGTGGCCTCAGCTTTGGGATCTGTGAATACACAACCACCAGTCACCTCTTTTGAGCATGACATCAGCGATGGCATCTCTAGCTAGGTATCAAAGCTTGCTTTTCAGTGAGATACATTTCTAACTTTAGACTCTATATCAGCAAGTTCTCTAAAAATATGACATATTTCAAACGCACAGAGTATGAATAAAGTGTAAAGTGCATATAGAAAAGTAACACAATTATAAAGGAAATATTTTAAGCCTTGCTGTAAACTTTACCAAATTTAGGTGTTTTATGGCCCCAAAACTGTACTTTCCCCCCAAAAGACCATTATGTCATTTATTCTTATTCATTATTCTAATACCTTCTTGTCCAAACATACAAAATACACAAGAGTTTCCTACAGCAAAACTTACAGTGTATAGGAGACCAGAGTCACCCTCCCATTCACACCCTGTAACTGGCAAACCAAACAGGTCACAGCTGCTTTTACAGTGCTTTGACTGGGTCAGGAAGTTTGATTGTGGCCAAGTATTCACTTGAAGTCAAGTGTGAAATGGATCCAAACCACTAAGACACTTCTATAATTCTAAACTAAAGGTAGTAAGCAGTGTTGGATTAAATGAGCTTCTAAAGATCTTCCTAACACTTGCCCTGTCACACTATAGCAGACTGCACTACCAAGGATGCATTTATTTTTAAAAATCGAGAGCTAGTACTTTTTACAGTTTACTTTCACATATTTTACTTCCATAGTAAGTATCATAAAGGATCAGTTCAGCTGAAAAGACAGGATGTCCCCTTGTTATACCAAGAGACAGAATGGCTTGTCTGTGCACCCACTCCCTGGGTCCACGGAAGCATTGCTCACAAGTATGCCTCATTACATTAAGGAGAATCTCTTACTCTAGTTTTAAGCCACTATTACTATGAAAATATCAGGAACCACATTCTGCTCTTATTTACACTCCTTTTTGGTGCTAGGTTTATATCAAAGTCATGGTGAGCTCCATCTCTCATGCTAAGGTAAATCAAACATTTTTAGTGAGTCTTGTAATGCCACATCCTAATCCCTCTATGGCTTCTCTCTCTGGAGACATTTGAAATGTGTTTATTAGGAAGACCATATTTATATCTTCAGGGATGCCTGTATACAAAATGGAAAAACCTTGTAGGGCAGATGTTGCAATTGGCTAAAAGATTGAAACCAAGCTTTGTTTTATGCAAACTAGAGCGTGAACATTCATCACGTAACTAGGATTTAAAACAACAGAATGAGAGAATAAAAGGATAAAATATGCATGTCTCTTTATACCCCTGTGCTACATTATGAAAGAATCAAGAATGTAGTAATTGACATTTTATTCTTGATGTTCAATGACAGCTTTTAAAAGCTACTCCAAATGCTGGTTCAGCAAACTATATTTAAACTTATTATTCAATGGCACACACCAACATTCCACCTATGTTAAATGTCATGAAACTGTACTTTTTTCAATATAACTAGAATAATCAATCACATTCATTCAGCTAGCATAGCCTGCAGGGCAGTGGGGACTCTGCTGTTGAAACTTAAGGTACACATTAATTAAATGTAAAATGCTAACATGTCACTAATGTGCTCAGATAATCTAAGGTTATATCTCATATTGCATGATGGGCTTTTGGAACCTTGGAAACAGCAATGACCCATTAGACTCCAAAGCCTGAAAAGAAATTAAATTCCTTGTTAGAGTTTAACATCAATTATAAATTTCTGAATTCCATCAAACCTTCATTTTCCAGATATTCTTGACACGCCTATTGGTAATGGCTAGCATGAAAGCAAAACAAAACAACCCAACCACAAACAAACAAAAAAAGCCACGCTACTAACCAACCACCCAACCAATCAACCAAGCAACAAACCAACTCACCCCAGTTTTCCTATATTTGTGATCAAGAGCACCCAGATGGCCAATGGTATAGCATGTTTATATCTAGTCCAAGATCTTCTGTGATCTTGTTGAGACTATTTTGGAGTAAAGGAAAAATGAAGAAAAAACAAGGTGAAAATAAGTGTTTGCCACAAAACAAACCCATGGACATCAGCAAGATTTTGTAGAGTTGCAGCCACACAGGTTTCACTTCAGTGAAAGGAGAAGTGAAAATTATATGTAGCGTTCACTGAATCCAGAAGACCTGAGACAGAAAGACCCACACAACCATACCAGCTCAGAGTCTCATGTTTACCCAATGGAGAAAAACTGTTAAGCATTAACACCAGTCAACATACCAGATTGATCACTGTAAACTGTATAGAACCATGTAGATCATATTTAGGTCAGAGTACCTGCTTTTAACTTCCTATTCCTGTTCCTGGACTT